CGCGGCGCGGCGCGGCGCGGGGAGGGGAGGGGAGGGGAGGGCAGGGCAGGGGAGGGTGGCTGGCGAGGCCCCGGCGGGGGAGTTTCTGCAGGACGCAGGGGTGGTCAGGGCCAGTGCAGGGTCCATGGGGCACAGCCCTCGCGTGGCGTCGGCCCGGGGCCGGAGCAGGAACCAGGCTCCTGGCTCGGGGGCACCGCAGCCTTTTTCTGACGGCTCCATGTCGCTGCTGCATCTCACTGGCGCCTCGTTCCTCTCCCTTCTTCCTCTCCTGTCTGCCTGCGTCTTACGGCCATTTGTGCTCCGGGTTTCGGGGGCAGGGAGCAGCTGAGTCTCTGCACCCCCTGTCTTAGACCACCGGGCCTGACCCCAGCCCCAAGACACGGGGCCCTCATGTACCCCCCCATGCCGGCATCGCCAAGACTGGCAGAGCACCCCCTCCCCGAGAGACCCAACCAGCTGCTCCGCGCTGGGCGAGAGGGGGGTGCTGGAAAGGCATCCTGCCCCCAGGGACTGATGCCGCTCGTTAGAGACCATCCTCAAGGGATCTCCTGGCCCCTCTTGGAGGAGCCCGAGCTGCCACGGCCTCTGCTGCAGGCAAGTTTCCCAGACCGCGAGTCGTCCCTGCCACTCTTTTCTGAACCCTCTGCAATTGCTCCACGTCCTTCCTGAAGAGCAGGCACCAGAACCGGACCCAGCATCCGGCAAGGGGCTCTCCAGGACCGTGCAGGGAGGGGTGCCGGTTCCTTGATGCTCCCCTGCTTGCACAGTCGCAGGTGCCACGCCGGGCGCTCGGGGTCTGGCTGTTGCTGCCCGGGCGCCCCATGCCCTCTAGGTCCCCGTCCCCCCATCAGTCTGGCCCATGTCCTTGGGGCCTGGAGCCAAGGAGGCTCCTAGCCACATTGTCCCAGCCTGGTCCGTGGGACTGAGCCGTCCACCCCAGGAGTCACGGTGGTGCTCATCAGGTGTGCGCGTCTCCCAGGTCATCCCTAGACAGCAAAGGCTGCCGAGCCGTGGGCTTGGCCTTGTAAAACCCTGCTAGGAAGACCTCAGACACCTCTTTGCTAGTTGTACCACCTCTGCCGTTTAACTGGTCTTTTGTCAGTTGATGGCTATCTGCTGTGAGTTGTCTGGTAGTACCAAAATTTCTTGCCTGGGGCTCCGGCCGCTTTGCCATAAATCACAGTCTCACCAGACACGCTAGTGGACTTCGCCGACAGGATCCGTTTCTCGTGAACTCCATTGACAGGCATGATTTATGCTATCCTCCTTTGCTCTTTACCCATGGCTTCCTGCATTGACTTGTCCATGGTTTTACCTGGTGTTGATGTTAGGCTACTTGGTATGTCACTACCTGAGTCATCCCTTTTTCCTTTTTAAATATTTGCCTAATATGAGCTGCTTTGCCATTCTCCGGTCCTCAGCCAGTTCTTTTACAACTCTTGAGTGCAATGACCTGATCCTGTGGATCAGCAAATGTGTGGCTTTAGCAGCTGCAGGCTGACACCCTCCCTTGTTACAGGGAGCACAGGACGTGCTTCCTCCTCCCTGTACGCTGTGAACACAACGTCCTGCTGCTTCCCTAGCGGGGCACAGAAATGTCTGTTGACATCTCTGGCTCCCTGTAGTGCCACGGGAGGAAGCGCCGGAGCCCAGACTGTGTAGGAGCCGTCGGGCTTGGGCTGTGGGCCGTGGGAGCTTGGTCACCTGCCAGGTCTGTCACAAACGCAGCTGTCCCCAGACTCCGCTCTCCATCGCTCTTGTCCCCGGTTCTGTCCTTGCTTTTCTCCCCACCAGCCTGCGAGCGCCTAGCCCAGTCTCCTTCCCCCAGCCCATTGCCTTGCCTTGGCTCTCTGCTCTTGCTGCACTGCAGGGCTGGTGCCATGGTGGGGTGTCGGGGCTGGTTCTCTGGGAGCCGGGGCTCGGGGCGGGGAGCAGGGATCTGGGGGCAGAGTCTGGGCTCGGGGGGGTGGGGGGAGTGGGGCTCTGGGCAGGGAGCAGCGAGTGATGAGCGGGGCTGTGGGGTGGAAAG